AAGTTAGTGCTAGACAATTTCTTCGACAGAATCTATCTTACATATTTATAAATCTAACATTCGTCTCTGCATTGAATACTGCTGTTACATCTAGTCTGGTGCTTCTTCTATACATTTAGAAATTCTTGATAAAATCCAAAAAGGAAACTGCAATGTTATTGTCCTGACCTGGCTTTCACTCACTTTCCCATCGTCGTAATGCAGCTTCAATGTGCCATTTCTATAAATACTTTCATGTTAATTGTTCTGATGAACTTACCTAGATGGTACCCAGGTCTTATGAATTTAAGCGCAGTACTAGATTGGCGGCAAGGTCTCATCATTTTACAGTTGAAATGGCGAGATGGAACTATGCTAATAGTTTATTTTCTCGGATTTATCACTTGTGGAACTCACTTTCGGCTTCTTGCTTCCCAATCAACCAATCTTTAAAAATTTAAAAATTTAAATGCAAGCTCAGTCGTTATCTTCTGTCTTCTAAATTCTTGTTCTTTTAATGTTCTCTCGCCTTAATAGTGTTTTTCTCTTATATTCTCTAACACTCAATAACTTCTTACGTTTTTATTGTCTTGTTTGTGGTGAAATTATTTAAAAAATATTATCCTTCTCAAAATCTTGGAAATTTTGTTTAAAAATCTTGTTTTTTTCTGGCGTCAACGTGCGACTGAAAATTTCTACAGGAAATTTGAGCAGTTTTTGCGCTGAAAGACATTGATTTGGAGATTCTTGCAAAAATGACATAATTGCCGGATTTTAATTAAACTTTCAGGACTTTTTGAAACTTTTCGTTTTTAGAACATACGTTACGCCCGTCTCATTGAATTTTAGGAAATTTAGAGAAATTCTTTTTTGCAGCGCTTAAAGTTTCTATCAGTTATATGTGAGAGTCGGCGGAGAATTTAAATCATCAATTCTTTTTGTAAAAAGAAGCCCCAGTTACAGAAAATCTGCTCTGAATCGTAAAATAAAAATACAATAAAACTAAAACATTATTTAATTAGAAAATTACTTTTTGTGAATAAAATATATTATAGACACTAGTGATTTAAAGAAAAAAGTTTTTTTCGCTGCTTAATGAATTTTTACAAGAATTGATTTTCATTTTATTTATTTTAATTAGAATAATTTATAAGCTTTTAAATCTTTTAAAATTCAGTATTAATTTGTAATTAAGCCAAGTGATATTGTTATTAAATTAAATCTGTATTTACTAATCATAACTCGAAAAGTCCACTGCAATTCAACAAGCCGAGTATTTTTAAAAGAATTTTGAATTTATTTTTTGTGTGTATAAAAGTGTCGGTTTTGTTAAACTACGGATGTTCATGGTTTCTTTTTCTTTCTTTTTTTTTTTTTGTAATCAAGTTCACCCCAAGCAAGGCACTAAATTGTCTGTCATTCTGTAACAATAGTAGACAGACGAGAAGATGAGTTCCTGAGACATGAGATTTAAGTTCGAGTTTCAATGAAACAAATTCGTATAACGCCCGACGAATTGAAAAAAAAAACTTATTGTGTTAAAACCAGCAAAAATTAATGTGGGAAAATTTCTCTCAATATTTATAAATCTATTAATCTAATATTACTCTGACTTACTGCTGCAATGATATGGTGAATAGAATGCATTATACTATCAATGGCTTTCAAGATGAACAAGTTAATCCTCAGTGAATGTCATTTGTAAATGTTTATTTATAGTGGAATTTAATTCTGTTTAGATTTGAGCGGAATTTTTCTTAAGTTCTCTATTTTTCTCTGTTGTTCTGATATATATATATATATATATATATATATATATATATATATATATATATATATATATATATGGGCTGGTGCCGAAAAAGTTCTCGACCAGACCAAGTAAGGGATCTAGTCGAGAACCCAAATGTTCTAATGTTTGTTCATTTGCTTGAACATGGTTGAGGCTGAGGATTTTTCAACAACTCCTTGTAAATACATTATATATATATATATATATATATATATATATATATATGTGTGTGTGTGTGTGTGTGTGTGTGTGTGTGTGTGTGTGTGTGTGTGTGTTTATATTCGTCGGCAGACAACTTCATCTCGACTCGGTCTTTTGATGTGAAGTTCCGTCATTTGTCACTGACAATATTCACGAGTCCGGTAAGCCTTCTGGAAGCGATGGCAAATCCACGCTTAACTAATTCTAATCCCGCTGTAAATCACTTTAGAGTCGGGGCCTAATTTGTTCTCATTCGGTCTAAAGCCGTAGCCATCATTTGTAGCCCGCGACAGTCGAGCGTGGGGTGAGTGAACAGTGCTAGAGGTGTGGCTGCTGGCAGGGTCGTAGAGGAAAAAAATCGAACTTCACCACCCTGTTCACCATTTCCCGCCAACAAACACCGCAGAGAAGCGGCCAAGATGAATAAAAACAATCCCGAAGCACAAAGTGACGGACGTCGCTCGATTGGAGCCAATTTTGAACGTCTATTATCTCGTACATTTCAACCTTCATTTCTTCTACTCATCCTGATTCTTTCGTTCCTTCTCAATCTTTCACTCTTTTTCCTTCATTGATTTCTTCTCCTTCTCCACTTTACCTTTTCTAGCGTCAATCTGAATATTACTTACACCATATTTAACATTTACCCCACACACCTTCTTTTATTACATTCCCTTTTCTTTCTTTCTTTCTTTCTTTCTTTCTTTCTTTCTTTCTTGTTCTTATTTCATTTTATTCATTTCATTCCCTCTCTACATTTCTAATTCTCTCCTTTTCCTTTCCTTCGTTTCTCTTCTTTTCGTTTATTCAGTCGTCTACTTCCTCTTTGTCGAACATTATTATTATTATTATCATTGTTATTATTAAAAACCCAAAATGATTGACGTATCACTTCCAATATTTTTCAGCAGTTAAGAGAAGAGTTGCATACGTAACTATGTCGAAAGGTCGGTAGATTATGAATAGTTTTTTCTGAATATGCACCTTAAGATACTTGTCGATATTACAATAGTTTGCAATAAAATGTTTTGAAAGCTCCTTTGATGTCACATATTTTTGTAGATTTATATATTTTTATACTTGAAAAAATTTTTAATATAACTTGAAGATAAACATTCTGTTGAAATATTGTTTAACAGTATCACTGATTTTTTCTTTTCCTTTTCTTTACTTAAACCACGTTCTTCTCTTAACTGTTGAATTATTATTATTATTATTATTATTATTATATATGCATTTTTGTTTATTTTATTTTCACTTTTTTATTTCTTCATGATCTTCTAATGTGCGGATGGTGTAATGGAAAGTAGTCGGAATGAGAAAGAAGAAGAGCCGAGCTCGAATTCCAGTTGAGTTCTCTATGGGTTAAATAGCAGGGCAAACTGGGATCCCTTGCTGTGGTTGACAACCAGTATAGGAGAAGAATAACTCTTACTTTAAAACCGTATGTTGCCTTGGAAGCAAATCATAGGACACGGAAACAACCCTGCCACGGTTATGGTGAATACAATGTGGTCAATGTTAGAATCTAACAGACCAGATTTGTGCCCTTGACGCTCAATAGTGTCATGCAAAAAGATCCTTCATATTGGACAATCGATGAGAGCTAATTATTCTAAGTCTGATGGAAACTGCGGGAAGATATCGAGCAGTGCCTTGTGTCTCCTAATATATGCACAAGCAAAAACCTTGGCGATGACACATGGGGTCTTCCTGACGACGACCCACTTAGTAATAGTCTTCTGTCCAGGTTTGTTCTTTTTCCGTTTAAATACGCGAATGCATCTACAAATCCAGTGGTCTATCTATCTATCTATCTATCTATCTATCTATCTATCTATCTATATATATATATATATATATATATATATATATATATCAACGTAAACAAACCTAGTCCGATGAGATCCTAAAGGATGAAACGCATCACATGAAAATCTTTTCCACTTTGTCATACAACTTTCCTCCAAGACTCTACTTGATATATAAAAATGATATATCCTCATCCCATATGTCGTCATATGTTTTTAATTTCTCACATGCGCGTTGTTTGTTTTTTATTTTGTCGACTGCACAGTATAGTTAGGGTCAGTTAAGCGCCAACTGTGAGAAAAAGTGCATCATGACCCATTTTATTACACCAAAAATTTGAAAACGGCGTGCTGTACTGCTTGACATTCGCTCCGAAAACTCCAATACAAACATTTCAGAGTGCCTAGGTGCCAATCTATGGATAGTGCGGAGGATTCGAAAAGAGTTGGATGAGTCTAATTGTAACTCAAGAATTTGCTGGTGATATCCAGACCATGATTGAAAACGTTCCCTCCACGCCAATCAGGTCTATCGCAAGGGAGGTAACGTTGCCCTAGTCAAGAGTGGATGCTGGAAGACCCTATGTCTGGCAAAAGAATTCTGCAATATGCCACACAAACAGTCAGACAATTTCTGCGACTACATCATTGTTTACATCTGGTCACCTAACTCACCAGACTGCAACCCTCTTGATTATTATGTGTAGGGTGCAGTAAAGCGAGAGACCAACAAAAGTCCTTGACAATGATTATGACATCATTCATCAATTTAAACAAGGAGACCGTCCAGAGTTGAAGCTATGGTTGAAGCCAATGTCGATTTTATTGAATAAATTTACTATTTAATATTTCAAGATATTTGTGTGCAATTTTGATGTATATATTATGTTAAAATGAGATGTCATTTTGTGTCATTTAGATGACAATTTATCCATCGCACCCTAAAGCTTTATAATCCTTCACTTGTCTAAATCATTTGTCTGAAAAACATACGCGACGGCTGCAGGAAAGGCGTCAGCATGAGACCAAGAAGAATAAATTGCAAAAATATCTGATGTTTCATCAATTGTTTAAATATTGTGATCAGTGAGATGCGAGAACCTTTCAGCACCCTATGGAACAAATAGTGCGCCATTGTGTGTATTATTCATTTTTACATATAGATATCCAAATCAGTCTTTGAATATATTTCTATGCACACACACACACACACACACACACACACACACATATATATATATATATATATATATATATATATATATATATATATATATCCATCCTCTTGTCCCCTGTTTCGTATCTTTCATCTGACTGAAACATTGAAATGGATAAATTCTGTATTAGTTTTTTGATTGGATTTTTTTTTAGCTTACACAGTTAAATTTCTGCGACGAACTCAGTCCACACTGTGGTTAATAAGACAGACGATCGATATTTTCGTCTGCCGAAATAGGCTATTCCCCATATGAGGTGATTTTAGATTTTATTGTTTATTAATTATATATATATATATATATATATATATGTGTGTGTGTGTGTGTGTGTGTGTGTGTGTGTGTGTGTGTGTGTGTGTGCCTAGGGAGTGTATATAGGAAATTTATAATTGTCTTAGTATTTCGTTTTCATTTTCACATTTGTGTGCATTTGTGTGTGTGAAGTTATTTTTAAGATTTGTTTAGTCTACCACAAGGCCACCATATTGGGAGAACAAAATGAGATTCCTATCGCTACATTAGTGAATTTGTAATATTATCTTGCTAAATGTTACGCTACGCTAGGCGCATATATTATATAATATGTGTGTATTTGTGTGATTGGTTAGATTTGTGTATGTGTGTGTGTGTGTATGTAAGACAGAGAGAGAGAGGGAGAGAGGGAGAGAGAAAGCGTGAGCGTGGTCGTATCGAGATGTATATGTATAAAAGTGCGTCTCTCTCCATCTTCCACATCCAGTTATTTTCTATTTTGTCCTCTTTTTTTCTTCCTTTTTCTTATCTCTTTCCCATTCCCTCGCACCCATTCCACTTTGCTCTCTGACCGCTTGTCCTCCATTCCCGCCCAGTTCAACCCGTAATTGCCGATGTAACTTCGTTGTCGTCCGACACCAACATTTCCTATATTGCTTTGCCGCCTCTTACTTTTTGGCGCGACGCTCTCATTAAAACTGTATTAATCAACAAACTGCTTCCCTACAAGGAACATGTTAATCAGCACTGATCCAAAATTGCACGTTCCCTGACAAAAGCTCGCACTCCCAACCGCACTCGACGGACACACGTTGTTTTTTTTTTCTTTTCTTTCTATTCTTTTCTTAAAAACTATAACATTGTTCTCCTCTTAGTCGATGTTTGGTTCTTATAGTGAAAAGTGCACTCTTTATAGGACGAGCCACTTCCATTGGAACAAACTGAACTATAAAAAACTAAGGGAATTCCTTAAAAAATCCATGGATATTTTTTTATTACCAAACAATAGCTATGAGTTGATTTGAAACATATTTCCATCATCATCAGAAGATATTTATAATCAGTTCATATATTAGAAATGTGTTGCAAATTGACGAGTTTCATTATCGAAAGCAGACTATTATAGAGGCGAAAAAACTCTAATCCGATATTTAATAATTTAATCAGTATGGCACAAAGTTAGAAGATTGCGATATATCAATTTCCCAAGTGGGGAGAGCCTAGAAAATCAGTATTTCAACATTTTAAGAGATATTGTTTTATTTTCACTGAAAACCGAAATTATTTTTTATAATAATTTCACTCCAAACAAGGCGATAATGTCACAAAGATGCAAAGGGTTTCTGAGTTTGAAATAAATTGAGAAAACTTTGCAAATTCGAGAGGGGCAAAAGGTGAAAAGGATTCAAGAAGGCAGAACACGACGATTGATGTGAAATTTGAGTTTATTTTTCGATTGTAATTGATAGAAAAGGCAAGAAGTCGGAAGAAAGTTCAAGGTGAGAAGTATGAGAGATGAAACTATTAGAATAGAACTTATGGTTACATCTCGAAATTTCAACAGTAAAATGACTAAACTGTTAATCTTGTACTGTGCTTAAATTCGTGAAGACAAGTCAAAAGCACATCAGAACATTTGTCATGAAAATGCTTATAGAAGTAGCACAGCCCTGTCCATACTTGATATTTCAGAATTCTTTAAAATTAAAGACAAGAGTCAGCGAATATTCGTTTCAAGTCTGGTTTAATAAAAATGTTTTAATGACTTAAATCTTGTATAAGAAACAATTTCTAGTCATGACTGATCAAAATTGTTGATTAATGATTAAATCTGTGCAAAGTCAAATGTAGTCCTGCCTCTGATCTTTAAATATCCCAGCTTGATAAAAATCCGTTTATCTAAAGGATATATCAGTTACAGAAATAGATTTTTTATCGGCCACTGCTTGGTAATTGAAACACGAACCAGTTTGTTTCAAGCGATAGTAGTTTGTGCTTTAGTAATCTATATTTGGGAAGAGTATTTATCATTATTTACATTATTTACACTATTTATATTCGGACTATTGTCCTCATCTTTGTTGCTATTATGACAACGTTTCGGCCGTTGTGTTCTCCTGCCTTCATCAGGTGCTTGTCAATCATTTAATCGATGGGTGTAGATTGTCTTCATTCCTCATCTCGTCTAGTACTGCTAGACCACTGAATCCAAGTACACACTGCCTGGCTTAGGGATTGAACTCACAATTACTGTCGGCAAACTCACGAAGTAACGTCTACTAGGCTATTGATACTGTGTTGATAGCAGATATATAAGGTAAATTGTAGGAACTATTAGAAATGTAGTCAAGGAAAACAAGAATTCTGAAAATAAATTTGGATCACTGTGTCGTGTCAGAAAATGTTTCTCGTCGGCCTCTATCTTTGCACATTTATAAATCTACCATTCGTCCGCGCATTAAATACTCTTGCCATACCTGGTATGATTCTCCTACTGCGCATCTCAAGATTCTTGACAAAATCCATCTCAACTTCAGTCACTTTCTCACTAATGTGTCGTGGCTTCCCTTTAACTTTTCTCTAAATATTTTCATGGCTACTACTCTGACGAGCTTTTTCCCCCTGGTGTATCGATCACATGAATTTATGTGTGCTACTAGATTGGCATCTAGGTCTCATCCATTTACTGTTGAAATAGTTAAATGCAACTGCGACTTCTGCTCCAACAGTTTCTTTTCTCGCACAACACGCCTGTGGAACTCCATTCCGTTTACTTGCTTTCCTGATAACTACAATCTTCAAAAATGCAACATCAATCGCCATCTTCTATCTTTTTGAATCCTATTCATCATTTGTCTTCTCCTCAAGCCTCCTTATACTCAAAATTTTAATTCATTTTCACTCCCAGTAAACCCCTGAGTATTAATGGCATTGGATTTGGGGTGAAATGATTAAAAAAAAAACAAATAAAGGACTGATGATTACTTTTCAAAGGGTTTCTATCTTCTTAGAAGTAATCATCAGTCTTTTTTGCATGGGGAAAAGAAAAAGGAACAGTCAAAGATATAAATCCTATATGGGGGACGTGAAAAGAAACAAATGTAGAAAATCATCTTATGACAAATCTTATAAAAGACGAGGCAAAGTGTGACACAGAAATTTGAAGCTGTTTCAGAAACTGAGGTAGATTTTAAGAAATCAAAAAAATAACATTAGAAATGAGCGTTGGATTTGCTGTATCATGTCGCCTGTCCATAATGTATTAAAATCTGTCGAAGTTGAGTCATATAGAGAATAAATACTTGCAGTAAAAGGATAGTGGTTCTACAGACAAATGTTTAGAATATCATGGACAGAGCATGCGATAAACGAAGGAGGATAGGAAATACAAAGAAACAGCTGATAACAATCTGGAATTTTTTAGGCGGATGAAGAAAAGAGGCTTGAAGAATTTAACACTCGCAGGACAGATGAGAAGCAGTGAATAACCTACTTGACACGTTTGAACAAATAGCAGGAGAAACAAGTATCGTAAATAGAAACAGGGCAATCATAAGAATGATTTGCTAAGAGCAACCTAAGATAGGAACTTGTAGAGAACCGTGGTCCCGCATGTCCTGAAAGAACATAGTAGATAGAGAGAATACTACTACTACTACAAAGGACTATCAACGTGGCTATTTGGACGATGGACGCAATGTTGCTGTTACTCTCTCTGTAGGTAAGCTGATTAAAGTAGATTGTTCTTTTCAATAACCATTTTTTCTTTCTCCAAAAGGGTTATATACCACTGAAGGACAGAGAAAGAATTGGATTCATGTTTTAGAAAGAAAATTTATGAACACAAACAAGTATTGGAATTCGTATTCTGTTTGTTGATTCAATTTTCAGCGATAATGACTGTTACACATTCATATATATAAATTATACTTCAACATATAATACACGCTCTCTTCTTTATAAAATGCTTGACTGAACCCATGAAAACACTTTTTTCCTGATTCATAACAAATTTCTATAGTAAAAACGGTAGTAGTATTTTTCTTTTTTACTAATGTTCACGACATATAAGATTGTAATGGTTGGGAAGGCAGACTCTAAGGAGTCTTTTCCACAAATTAGCGCTTCGCGAGAAGAAGTTGTTCGAGTGGAACTTCCTTCTTACTAATGGAATATGAATGGAATTGGGATGCTTCCTCCCAGTGTACGTGGCGTGGCGGGTCTTAGCTGTGACAGTTGTAGTTGGAGTTGGTAGAACTAAGGATAGGAAATAGCCATAAAGTAACGAAAAGCTTGCAACATTTTGTCTGTGGGGAAAACGGCTGAAGAAAATAATCGATCACACACAACGGTTATGAACTCAATCAAGCCTGGAAAGAGAAGACTATGCAACTCCAGCACAGAGATGGTCTCAGTACTTCATTTTCGATCCGATCTGGCTCTTGTAAAGGTAGAGCATATCTGGAGGAATTGCGATTAACTTACGTTCCGGTAGGCAGTGGATCCTCTTTGAGAGAACACTCGCTCCATCGCAATAATCAATTTATTCTGTTAGTAGTGCTTACCGTTATTCTTGACCATTAACGAGAATCTCTATTTTTGATTTTTACTGCATTTCTATAGTAAAACCATTTGAAATATGTTTGCATAAGTCATTTAATAACCGTAGTGTATCAGTAATGATTTCATGGATGCCTTATCAATGGTTAATTTTTTCCTTCTTAAATTTCGGTGCATTTCTATAATAAAATTAGTAGAAATACATTTACACTATACATAACAGCCTTATATCTATAAGCAATACTAATAAAAGTCGTGGATTCGTAGTTAAAAAGCCAATACCGCCGACAATTCTCAATTCACATTTAATTGCGTTTTTGTGAAATACTATGTCAAATTTAGTAATTGACTATAGGAATTTATAGTAAAAAATCTGCTTCATTTCTGCAAACGCATCAGGTAAACAGATACAAAATCACAAAAGCTTCCTAAACGTAAGTACAGTGTCATTATCATAGGAAAACACAGAGTCAGATATCTTGACTTAATGAAAATGAAAACGATAAACCAAGGCAAACATGGAGGGACAGAAATCAGTTTATTCACAACACACATCCTCAGTATCTTTCAGGCAAGGAAACCTTCATATCGAGATACATATCTAATGAACGGGTTTAGACTGACATTCGAAATCATGACATATCTCATGCTTCATGGGATATGTCGGGCATATCATGATAGCGACCAGCCGTTCACATCACATCTAATGAAAATAAGTAAGTAAATTAAAAAAAATCTTTTTCGAAAACATCCAGTCATGAATCTTGATTTAGAAGCGATAATAAATGTATAAAGATGAGAAAAAAAAAACAATGAAGTCAGCAAATTCAAAAACTCCTGGCATCCGTTGCTGGCATCTGTCTCTATTGCTAATTACCTGAACGTAAGGTGTTTAGAAACATTTCCATTTCACTAAAATTGATTAGAGATAAAATGAAATACGAAAGAAAAGATGGCATTAATTAAACCAAAAAAGTAATTCCGCCGACAACGGCCAACGAAATTTCTTTTCCATTGATTTTTGTTTTCATTCGTAATTTCAATGATTTACATACCGATATATGATTTCATAGTGACATTATACTTGTCCCGGTTGTTTTCAATATACACTTGAAAATACTGGAACAAGGTCAGTTTTATAGAGCACTGGACAATAATGAAAATTATTATTTATCGTTTGTATGATAAATAATATTTTCTGATGACTTGATTGCGTCTACGAACGCTGTATAAGTGAGTGTGTGTCAGGGAATTCCGAAGTCAAAACATAAATTCCTAATGTGATCGGGATATTATGCCTTTTAAAAAAACTCCGTCAACAAGATTCAATCTGAAAAATCTATAATTTTGAAAACATTTTTAGATAAAGAATTTTCACTATATTATTATGAGTTAATTAGGAGTAAAAAAGAAAGATAACGGTCAATACTGTTACACATTAAGTAAGCCAGTGTACTAAAGTAAATACCGAAAAGGACTAACAAAACTAAAAGGCACCAACTGCAAAATATACATACACAGAAGGGAGAGATAATTAAATTCATACACCACAAGCGGATTAATATAAGAAAAACAATGGCAACCAATTCAGAAAATATTTAAAAAGAATATTTTATAAATAATTTTTTATCAACTGCATTTCTCACATTTATTTTTATAAACAGCATCTTTGCAGCAGTCCAATTATTTTTTACAACTGCATAACTCAATGAATCCACATTTATTTTTTTCAACTGTAACTCTACATCAAAACATATTTGTTTTTATCAACTGGATCTCTCCATCAATCCAGAGTTATTTTTTAACCGAATCTCACCATTAATCCAGTTATTTGTCAAATGCATCTCTCCATAGTTATTTTCATCAACTGCATCTCACCATTAATTCAAATTGTTTTTCAGTTGCATCTCTCCATCATTCCATATTTATTTTTTTCAAATAATTCTTTCCATTAATCCAGTTATTTTTATCAACAGCATTTTTCCATCAATCCATATTTATTTTTATCATTTGCATCTTTCCATCAATTTACATTCATTTTTTTTCAACTGCATCTTTCCATCAAACCACATTTAATTTTAACTGCATCTTTCCATCAATCAGCATTGACTTTTTCTAACAGCCTCTTTCAATGAATCCACATTAATTTATTTTCAACTGCAGATTCCCATCAATCTGCATTTAATTTTTCAACTGATGCTTCCCTTCAATCCACATTTACTTTTATCAAATTGAATTTTCCCATCAGTCCACATTAATTTTTTCAAATGTATTTTTCCATCAATCCACATTTATTTTTTATCAACTGCGTCTTTCTATAAATCCACATTTACTTTTTTCAACTGAATCTTTCCACCAATACACACTTATTTTTATCAACAGCATCTTTCCAACAATCCAGCTTCATTTTTATCCTCTGCATCTTCCCATCAGTCCACATATACTTTTATCAACTGCAACTTTCCATCAGTCCACAGTTAATTATCGCCTCTATCTGTCCATCAATCCACATTTATTTTATTCAACTTCATATCTCCATCAGTTCACATTTATTTTTATCAACTGCATCTTTACATCAATCCACACTTATCTGCATCTTTGCATCAATCCACACTTATCTGCATCTTTGCATCAATCCACATTTATTATTTCTAATTGTGCCTCTCCATAAATCCACATTTTTCAACTGCATCTTTGCATTAATCCACTTTTATTTTTTTCAAACTCAGCCTTCCATAAATGCACATTTAATTCTTTCAACTGCATCTTTCTATCAATCCATATTTATTGGTAATGATTGCATCTTACTATTAATCCACATTCATTTTTATCAAATGCATCTTTCCATTAATCCACACTTATTTTTATCAACTGTATCTTTCCAACAATCCAGTTATTTTCATCATCTACATCTCTTCACCTATCCACCTACATCTCGCCATCAATCTACATCTCTTTTTTAAACTGCATATCTCCATCAATCCAGTGCTGTTTTGACAACTGCTCTCTCCATCCATGCTTATTTATTCGTTTCATCCATATCTCTCTATCAATCCGCATTTATATTTTTCAAATGCATTTCTACATCTATCATATTCAATGGCTTTTTCAACTGCATCTCGCACCTCAATCTAACCATCTCTCTTTTTTTATTATATTTTTCTACTGCATCTCACTCCCAAACAACATTCATTTTTTCAACTTTCCTTATTTATAATTTGCAGCTGCATCACGCCATCAATCCACAGTTATCATATCAACTGCATCTCTGCATCTACCCCTATTTATTTTTTCAACCGCATCTTTTCATCTATTCCCAGTTATTATTATCAAAAACATCTTCCAATCAATCAACATTTATTTTTTTCAACTGTTTCTCTAGTATCCACATTTTTAACAACATTGCACATTTTTTAAAACTGCATCTCTCCATCAATACATTGCTATTAATTCAATTGCACGTCCCCATTAATCCACAACTGTCTTTTTCATCTCCATGTTTCTCTCCATTAATCTACACTTATATTTATACTAGGTCTCTCCATCAATACATATTTATTTTTTACAACCGCAACTCTCAATCAATTCATGTTTCTTTTTATCAACTGAATCTGTTAATCTATAATTATTTGCAATTTTCTACAGCATCTCTCCCTCTATCCACAGCTATTTTTCACAATTGCATATCTCCATTAATCCACGTTTAATTTTATCAACTACATCTGTACATGAATGTAGATCCGTTTTTAACAACTGCATACCTCCATCAATGAACATTGATTTTCAGCAATTCCATCTCTTCATCAATCCATAAACATTTTTATTAATTGCATCTCTCCATCAATCCATATATGTTTTTTTTTATCAATCACATCTCTCCATTATTCCATATTTATTATTTTCAACTGCTTCTCTCTATAAATGCAAATCCATTTTTATCAGCAGCATACCTCCATCAATCAGCATTTATTTTTATGAACTGAATCTCACCATCTATCCAAAGTTATTTTTGCAACTACATTTCTTATTATTAATTCCCAATCATTTTTCAACTGCATATCTTCATCATTCCACATTTATTTTTATCAACAGAAACTCTACATCAAGCCACAACTATTTTATCCACTGCATCTCTCCATCAGTTTCACATTTATTTTTATCAACTACATCTTTGCTTCAATCTATATGTGTTTTTATCAGCTGCATCACTCCATCAATACAAAGTTATTTTTTCAACTGCATTTCTCCATCAATCCACAATTATTTTTATGACCTGCATCTCTCCATCAACCAATATTTATTTTTATCAATTGTATCTCTTCATCAATCCAGTCATTTTTATCAACAGCATATCTACGTCAATCCACATTTATTTTTATTAACTGCAACTCTCCTTCAATCCACAGTTATTTTTCAACTGCATCTCTCCATCAGTCCACATCTATCTTTATTATCTGCATCTCTCCATGAATTCACTTTTATTTTTATCAGTTTCATCTCTCCATCAAGCCACGATTATTTTTATCAACTACTCCTCTCTCGCATTTCATATTTATTATTTTAAACTGCATCTCTCCATCAATGCAGATACATTTTTCAACTGCATATTCCCATCAATACACATTTATTTTAACAACTATATCTTTCTATCAATACACAGTTTGTTTTCAACTGAATTTCACCATCAATCCACAATTATTTTTTCATCTGTATCTCTCCATCAATCCAATTGTTTATCAACTGCATCTCTCCATCTATCCACAGTTATTTTTATCAACTGTATGTCTCCAACAATCGAAATTTATTCTTATCTTCTGCATATCTCTATCAATCCACAATTATATTTTCAGCTGCACTCTTTACGTCAATCCACACTTATTTTTATCAGTTGCATCTCTCGATTTATCCGCATTTATTTTTATCAACAGCATCTCTCCATGAATCCATATGAGTTTTATCAATTACCTGTCTGGATCCTTGTCTATTTATTATTTTCAATTGCATGCCTCCATCATTCCATAGTTATTCTTTTCAACTGCATCTCTCTATCAATCCATATTTATTTTAATAAATTTTTCCATGTTCTTTTTGTTTTGTTCATTTATTTTATATTTGTGCATCTGAAGCTATCCAAAAATATATCCTTTATTATAATTCTATTTGATTGCACGTTTGACTGTTAATTTTTTTTTTTTTTTAACTCTGATCAGAATATACTGTCTGTTGGTAATCTCCGCCTATTAAAATGCTGACAAAATGATAGAAAAAGATGAAGAAAGAGAAAGTGTAAACAATGCAAAGAATTAGACTTAAATAAGAATTGAATCAGCTACCGGAGCTTGCTATATCATGTAGCAACATCAAACATGACATTGGCGATCGTAAGAATTTCCTTTGATGTGATGCGAATTCTATTTTCGCGCTTTGATTTTTTAACTAGTTTTTTGACGGAACTGTCATCATGTTCCCAAATTCTGAAGAACCTCCATCAATTATTCGTTACAATAATGTCTAATTACTTTTGTTTATTTAACCCACAAATCCTGAGTGATTAGATGTGTACTTTTCTCAGTGCAACTTTACGATCTTTGAAAGCCAAATTATAATTTATAGTGTATTATATTGCATCTTAAGCATACATAATAATTTTGAAAGTAAAATACTGGGCCAACCTCGAAAATGTCGTCTTTTAGTTCGTTTCTAAAGTTAAAAAGTATTTTTTTTTTTTTTGCAAAAACTGATATTATTATTGACTGTGAAAACTGCGAAAATATGGATTTAGTAATTAGTGTTACTGTTTTAGACTCGAATAATTGCTTCATATCGATATGTCATTGAATAAAACAAGTTCCAAATTTTCTCATTGAGGATATGTTTCCATTCTTCCTTCAAGTCATGCTAAAGCTCTTGCAGATTGTGTGGTTTTCATCGGAGCTCTTCTTTCTTCAGTTTCTACGAGAAATGGTTCAATTCTATTGAGATCAGGGATTTATGCTGGCCTGTCTGCCAAATGTTGAATATCTTCATCCACAAGAATCCTTTTTTGTTGCACGTGATGTATGACAAGTAGTGCCGTAATACTGCAAATTTTCCCTATCTACGTTGTCTCACTGAAGATTAGACCGTAGTAAATTAATATAGTTTTCATTGTTTAGATTTCCTTCAACTTTTACCAATTTTCTTCGACTATCACTTTTGATGCAACCCCACATGCCCATCACCAAATTGTACCATCTTTGTGTTGGTATTTTGCATTCTTTCTTTCTTACAATGGTCTTCTTATATATTCTCTTGCATTAGAATGCAACTCTATTTTGCATTTATCCCTTCCATTTTATATATTCTTTTGATCACTTCACTAGTCTATTCCAATATTTTTGGTTAATGATGTTTTTTTGCTGCTATACGCTTATTCAAGTGTTTGTTTGTTTCGTAATACTCCGTGGTTTGTTTGTATGAAGTGAAACGTCACTGTTAATTCACTTTTCACTTGTCTGGTTGTTAATTTTGGATTACCTACTGAGATTCACAATCTTCCATCTTTCTTATCTAGTTTTTGTGGTCTTTCAATTTACTTTTCACTTCAAACACTTCTAGCAGCAGCAAATATCTTTTTGATGGTGTGAACACTATATCTGAAAATTCCCTTCCGTCTGGCTATCTCTCGTTGTGGCAACTCTCTTTCAAAACCACAGGCTTTATCTTTGATTCAACAGAAATTTTAGCTATGAATGTAGTGTAAAAAAGCAAGCTAATATTCTACGATGTTTTGCCAATGCACATTACACTCATATTAATAAGATGGAACAATTCCTACTTAGAAATTTGCATATTATCATAATTTTATTATTTCAAATCTTTCATTGGCTAAAAATGTTTGCTTCGCCTTTTCAGCTTCGAGCTACTTAAAGCGGTGCATCTTCTGTTACCTGGCACCTATAAAAACGCAACAACCTATTTTCCAATCCTCAAGGTCCACAAACACTCTGTTGATAAAAGCATACTGATAAACAATCTTAACTTTCTTTGCACCCCACTATATCGGTTTTCACAAATTCTGATATTAAGCGATGCACAATATGTACAGTATTTATGTTTCCGTTTCATTGATAATACTCTAGACATCAAAATCAAGCAAGTAAAAAAAAATTAAACGTATAGGAAGTGTTTTAACAGAGGACAAAAATGCGTCATTGAAATCTGAAGGAATAGCAAAAGATGCCTTCCAAAAGCTAAGCAAAGTATTATGAACAGGAGTATTTCGTGAGAAATAAAGAAAGGATTACTGAACAGTAATATGTAATATTGAATGACATTTAATAACTGAAATGTAATATGAGGCCCCCTATATGGTAGTGAATATTGGACAATCTCCTTACTTGAAGAAGAAACTTGAGTCAAAAGATTTGTGGTTCTACAGAAGGATACTGAGAATAACATTGACTGAACATGTGAGTAACGATGAAGTTTTAGGGAAAAAGAAAAGAAAAAGGACACATATTATCAGAAAGAGACACTGAAATTTTTAGAGAATATAATGAGGAAAGTGGGCTTGGAGAATTTGACACTTAAAGGATATATTAAAGGCAAAAGGGACAGAAGAAATCAGCGAATGACGTACTTTTGTAAAAGGATTAGGCGATATAACAAAAAGACAAAACTTGCTCATAACTACAAAGAACAGGAAGTTGTAGAGAACCATGATCGCTCACATCCTGAAAGCACACGGCACACAGAAGAAGAGTAGGTGAACAGTTTCACATGGTATTTTTTAATCTCTTAAATAGAGACATCATCATTATTATTATTAAAATTATTATTATTATTATTATTATTATTATTATTATTATTATTATTATTATTTCCTTTGATTTCTGTTCTATACACATTTCCTTCCGGGTCCCAACCAGAGACTTAAAGTCAGAAATAGTTTCATAACATTTTCTGCTTATCATTTTCGTAAAAAAAAAAAAATCAAGATCACACACATTTTACATAAATAAAGCTCTTCGTAATGTGTGAGCTGTATTTATGAGTACAATTTTTTGTATTTCTTTAAGGAATGGGTTACCAGTAATCCCTTAAATCTTTTCCAATCAATCCGAGAGTTCCAACTACAACTGGAATTTTTGATGTCCTCATGTGCCGGATTTTTTTTATTTCCTCCTCAAGACCCTTGTATCTTGATTGTTTTTTGAAGATATTCCAAGATGCAATACAATCTGCAGAGTGTGGCATTTAAATAAGATGGCACATTTTGTTATTGCGATCTCTGAAGGATTAGTTTTGATTGTTCTGCCTGTTTGTAAAGTCCCATAAAATTGTTACAGATCCTATCTCTGTAACCGAGTCTGGGTGTTGTTCATACAAGTTTCTTGCAGTTTCCTTCCCGTATTATTATTTAAGTGTTGGAAGAAAATTTAGGATTATTGAAAGAGAAAACACATTATTATTATTATTATTATTATTATTATTATTATTATTATTGTAGTTGTCACTTTCTATGTTAGAGATTTGTTGATTTATCAATGCTGTTTAATAAAATATTTTGTTTTAGCCTGGGCCTCCAAAATTGAACCAAAAGTCCAGCGACCTTCCGTCATTAACCTCCGATCTATTCCCCAAACACCAAATGAAACCGGCGGAAGCGCGTGCCGTTGCAGTCGCCATTGTGTGATAGCGCAAAACGCGTGGTGTTTATTGCCACAGAGGCTTCCCCACTCTTTATATTGCGATTAATGACTTGCCACTCATTGACACACGCCTCGACGAAAAATAAAAGTAAAGAAAAAAAAAAAAAAATGAAAGAAAAAAAAAACGGTAAATATGTCTAGCCAATTCATATCGCAGTGTTAACTCAATTAGATCACCCACGAACCAGACACGTGACCAAGTGTGAAAATCAACTGGCGTTTTGATTTTGAAGTGTCGATCAAATCTACAAAATATTATAAGCATTCAAAAATGTTAAGAATCCTCAAGGTTTTATGATATTGGCAGCGTTTGTTGTTTTATTGTATCTGTCTGTTATCAAAACGTTATGTCATGGAATGAAAAGACAATAAAGCATTGAAAGTTTGAAGAAATTTATTATTAATTCTTGACGAGTGCTTATTTTATCTTATTACTTTTCTTTTTTGTCGCGACCAATTATTCAAAGACTGAAAAATAAACAACCAAGTACGGAAATAAAGAGTAAATGTCCGGTAAGATATTTTCATTTCTTATTCTTTGGAAATTAAGCCACGAAGTCTACACCAGTAGCCGTCATTGGGATCAGCCATATAACAAAATCTTTTTATCGAATCGCCACTACGCCTTCACGGTGTTCTTGTTTTATTTCTAAGAACTTTTTGATAATATTATCCGTGATTATAATAAACGCCTGTCCTTCTCGTTATTCAGCTTTAGGTGGAATCTTATCAGTTATCTTTTGAAGGAATGTGATAAGCAAAAAGAACAGAATCCTAAAGCCGCTTTTAAAAACCTTGAATTAAAACTGTCTACATCTTTCCTAACTATAAGCCATTTTTATCTTTAGGCGGAGAAATTCATAACTAAAGAAAAACAGAGAACAGAAAAAAAGAAACAGAAAACAATACTAAGATTGAAGCAAAAATGATGAAAATAAAAAGACAAAAGAAGGAAGGCAAAAAAAGGAAAGATAAGACTATAAAAACCAGATCCTTTTTCGTGGTTTTCTGAAGAAAAACAAAAAGAAAGTTGAAATAAAAGAAGAGTAATATTGAAGAGTGTATCGACCCAAAGTGTTTTTGAGAAAAAAGAAAGAATATTAAGATAGAATAAAACAGTTAATAAAGTAATATGCAGAAAAAGAACAGGAATAAGGAATGTAAACATATTTTCTACCACATGCTCACTTTTATCATTCTTTCGCTCTATCTCAGCATAAGGAATTTTAATTTATTTCAATTTTTATGATTTTCATCCCGGCCCAGCTTTTAATCTATCATTCATTATCTCTTGATACACAGCCAGCAAGCCTCTCACTCTCTGCCTTTCTGTCGACTCCATTCCTTCCCTACCACTCTCTCTTCTTTTTTATCTATCTATCTATCTATCTATCTATCTATCTATCTATCTATCTATCTATCTGCCTTTCCTTCCTCACACACTCTTTTTCGGTCAATTCTTCTCTATCGATTTTCCCGTTACCTTCTTGCTTAATATTATTATCTGTTTCCCCGCCTGAAAGAGTGACTGATTTCAGCTGAGAAAGTCTGGTGATTAGCAACAGATACTATACACGGGCACTAGATAGAAAAGCGTAATGAACATACACACAAAGAAGTCGTATTATAATAGAGACTTTATTGTTTTATAAATAATGAAAATGTTTGTCTTTTGAGTGATTCACTGTCAATTTAATACGACTTAATATCACTTAACCTGCCACGTGGTTGAGATAATTGTGTATTTCTCGCAACTACTAGTGCTTGGACTTCGAACCGATGGGATCCACACACAAATACAAAATGTTGATTTCCCTCTAAAAGTCAGGGTTTTCTACATGAAGCATACACGCAATAAAATCTTCCCATTACATATAAACCTGATCCTTGTAAATATCAAGAAAAAATACGTTCAGTGCTTACAGATAATTATGGCAAACGAAATGTTTTGTATTGTCAAATAATAAACCATGAAATTTCCACCCACGACAAATACAAAAATATGTTCACATTTTGTCTAATAGCAACATTGTTTTGCGGCCGAAAATTAATTAAGCTCTTTTCTAATAAAGAATAGATAAATAAAACAAAAAAACATTTCGAAAGAAAATTATTTAAAGTTTGTGTTGAAATGGCGTTTTATTTTACAATATTCAAAATATTTAGTAAAAAGCAGGAGAAAATATTTAGCTTAGAAAATTTACAGATATCATGGGGAATTCGATTATGACGGGGAGAGGAATTTTTTTCGGATTTTTGAGTTGGTTTCTCAATATGTTGAGGCATTTCCTGATGGGTATGTTGGTGTATAATAATTTGATGTTTAGGCTCACAATAACCACATTTTCCATATTTATGTTTCGAATTCTCGGGATTAAGTCACCAGAGTCTTTGGTATGTGTTGGGTTGATGGTTCCTAGGAACGGAGTTAGGACTTTTGCAATCACACTAGCTAATTGGGGGATTCACTATTGATACCGGACACAATGGCTCTGATTGGTATGTCGGGTTTGTGTGTTTTGAGTAAGCCGTATAGTGTGGCTGTGGTCTATCAATTTGGTCCAGGATTTGCTTTCATTTTTTAATAGTTTCTTAGCTGTTTTGTTGAACCTATGTGTGTCTGTGTTTACTGTCTCTTCATTGGTTTTTGTCTAGGTGTTGTTATCTAGAAGGGATTGCAATTTTTCAAAGTCGTTGGTGTCCATTATAACAATTCCTTTGTCACTTGGAGTTATGATGATTTTAGTGTCCGTAATATATCTCCTGGGTAGAGTAGTTTCATTGTTGTTTGTGAGGGTGGTTGCTAATATAACTTGTACGAAACCTTTTTCAAATTCGGTGTGATTGGATTTGTGGTTTTTGGCTAAGGTTGTGACAGTGTCATTTTTCTTCAGTTCGGTGGTGTATTTCAGGCATAAACTTTCAGGCTTTGCTTTCAGTAACAAAAACTGCGAATTAGACAGTGACAGAAAGTGTGAATTGACACTGTCACAATCTTAGCATGAAAAATCCTTATACACAAAGATATCCATCACGGAATAGCTCAACATATTGAGAAAGCACATCAAAAAGTCCAAAGAAAAGCTTCCTCTCCCCGTCGACAAAATTATAGAAATATATAAACTAATCATTAACCACTTCTTCTCTTTCAACAATATTCACTACAAGCAAAAATTCGATTAACCTATGGGGTCACCTCTCAGTGGTGTTCTCGCTTACCGTTTTCTAGAATTCTTAGAATCCTATCCATTTAGTCACATCATACCAAACAGATCTACTTACCTAAGATATATAGATGACGTCCTCTTATTATATCCCAAAGATACAAACCTATTAGATATAGTAATGAAACATGATAGAGTTTAACCTACCATTGAATTCACAGGCGAATTTAGAATAAAAAAATTCTCTACCTTTCCTCGGTATGTTATTAATGCGTAACAATTAGACTTTAAGGTATATGGTAAACAAACAAATACAAATGATCTAATCAACTTCTATTCCCACCACAACCCAAAAATAAAATCTGGACCAGTCATAGGATTTTACCTTAGAGCCCTTATGATATGCAGACCGAAATCCCTAAATGAAGAATATATATATATATATATATATATATATATATATATATATATATAACGCCTTTTGAATAACGCTGCTCTCTCCCTCATTAATAATGATAATAATAATGTGTTAAAGGGACACTTATTCCGACTAGATATGTATTCATTTACATAAGATATGTTTAAATATATGTAAATATATTTAAAATTAGTTTTATTTATTATAATTATTTTCATTTTTGACACGTGATCACTCTACAGTTGCTAATGGTACCATGTAACACGGCACTTCCTGGTGCTTAGTCAAGTTATCGGCGGCTACCTCGGTTCCCCTAGCAGGCTTCGAGATCTGTCAAAGGGCGGTTGGACGTAGTTTACTGGTTACTGCATCCTGAATGATAGCAAGGAGTTCGAACTCTTTGGTAGCACTTAGTGGTGATGCTCTGATCAACAGTTGCATAATAACGATCTATAAGTAGTGCCATATTGCGCATAGATAGGTTTCTCTGCATGTACTTTTTCTTTATTTTTAGCCACATGTGGATTATATCGCCCTGGGCTTTTTTTTTTACTTTTGTTACCATAAAAATAATAAAATTAAAAAAGTAAGCAAAAGTTACCTAAGCCCCATTCAACCTTTCTTTTTCAATGTTCGTGTTATTCGTATCTATTCTTGTAGTGTAGAATCTTTTTTCCTCAAAACGTTCCCCAGAGATCTTAGCGCTTTGAGAAACTAATTTAAAGTCTTTTATCTCTACCTTTGAAAACCCTGTTCCAGTTCTCCTTTGCTGAAAAGATTCTAGTTTATATGCGCATGTTCTTACTGTTTATATTAGGGAACATCTTCCATTGACGAGGCAATCGCCTTCTGTGTCCCCAGATGATTCTTTCATGCGCTTTCGACTTTCATTATTATACTCTGTTAGTTATCTCTTTTTTCCTATTCCTGATGGCTGTAGTATGATAGGCAAAATATCCGATGGCATTGAACTCTCTCTCTCTCTCTCTCTCTCCCTCTCTACATTCTTCTATTAAAATCTTTGTGTTTGGTGCTTTGTAATGCACTTCATGTCAAGTGGCTTAATCCTTCTAATGCTAATTATGTTGTTGGTATTCAGACCTTGAAGTTTTCAGTTGCTCAGTCTCTCACTCAAATAGATTTTCCTACTCGTTTCCTTAGTAATTCTCATCAAAATGTTTCTCTACTCGATTTGTTATTTACTTCTTCAACTGGTTCTTACTGGTCATCACATCTCTATCCTCTTGGCAATTCGGATTACACAGTAGTGTCTATTGATATTTATTTCGATTCCTTTTAGACATGAACCGCTTATTCATAAGACTTCTTTTACCAGCGTATCGATTGGGATTCATTTCATGATTTTCTTCGCAACTCCCCTTTAATCTTTCTACTGAAAATTATGCCAAAGAAGGTTTCTTTTTGGTTAAAGGCCGGTGCCGATGCTTTCTGCGTCATCTCGGAAATACCAGGGGAAAATGCAAAACCCGCCAGTTCAAACGCAATACCCCATAGGAATCACTTTTTCCGGTTATACCAACATGATAGCTCTGATCAAAATAGAATCCCCTTTGTAATTGCTCGCAATATTTACAAACATGTTCTTAATTAAGTGAAGTCTTTGTTCGATGATAGGATGAAGCACCATATAGCTTCTCAGAAGTGACTACTGGCAGCTGTATAAGAGTGTATTAATTAAGGGTACATCGAAAATCCCTCATCTTTTCACTCAATTTGAAATGTTGTCAATATTAATAAAGCAGAATGCTTTGCTCTTGAACCATCTTGAGTATCTTGGCCTGATTTTCCTGAAAGTCAACTGCGTGATATACATATGACTCTAAACATAGTTTCTACTGTTATTTCTTAACTTGATCTACCAAAAGTATATGGGCCTGGTGGCAATCCTGCAATTTTCTCAAAGAAATGTGCTTCTATTCTCTCTAAACTCAACACTAAATAGCTTGCTGGTTCTTGCTTTCCAGAAATCTTCTTTTGCAGTTCCTATTTTTAAGAACTTTGGGGAACCTTGTAATTAACGACCTATTAGTTTTCTATCTCTTTCTGGCAAATTATTAGAAACTCTAATGAATTCTGAATTGGTTAAGCACCTCACATCGGAGAGTCTTCTGCTAGACAAACAATATGACTTTTGTTTCTCAGTGTTAACTGCCGATGTATTAAAAGTTAATTCTGAAAGGGGCTTTCAAACTTTACATGAGAATGGTGAAGCTCGGGCACGTTACTTTGGATATTTCGAAGACAATTGACAGGAATTACAGTGCTAGTCTTCTTCAATAATTGAAGAGATAGTGGAAGATCTGGTCAAATTTTTGGTTTGTCTCAATTCTCTCTAAATCGCGAGATGAAGGTTGTCTTGAATGGCCACTCTTTTAGATCTTTCTGCATAAATGCGGGTGTCCTCTAGTGGTTTATTCTCGGTCCTACTTTGTTCGTAATTGTTATCAATGACCTTCCCGATGACATCAGTTCTTCACAAGGTATCTAAGCCGATGATATAATTATTTACTCTTATCTAAATAGTAAGTCTGATAGGTTGGATAAAGTCAAAATGGCTACCGAAAATTGAAATTGCTTCACTATGTCGGACTAGACAATTTTTCTCAAACAGAATTTGTCTTGTACGTTTATAAGTCTACCATTCTGCATTAAATATTGTTGGTACATCTGATCTGGTGCTTCAGCTATATATGTAGAAATTTTTGACAAAATCCAAAGAAGAACCTGCAATGTTATCTGGCATCTCGGCTTCAGTCAATTTCTCACCGCCATAATGTAGCTTCCCTGTGACTTTTCGATTAAAACAATTGATGGCTCTTCCCTTTTTTACACCGACTTCATGAATTTTAAACGCAGGACTAGATTTGCTGCTAGCTTATATCATTTTGCTGT